GTCGGCTGACCACGAACATTTAATCCTCCTGCACCGAATCTGCGCAGCGGATCTCATCAATGTAGACCGAGATAAGCAATTCATACCGGCGCGAATGTTCGCGAAGGGTGTGAATCTCCATCTTTTGAGTTTCGATTGTTCGTAAATTCTCATCAAGTTGGGCGACCATCTATAATACAACTTAAGAAGAATCATATGATTATTGACTAACTTGAATCATTTTTGCGTCTTGCTCAGAAACATGGTTGAGACTGCGAGTGGATCCACGATGCGTTGTCCCTCGGGATTTTAATACAGATGGCGTCTTTACAAGGGGTTGTGACTCCGGGTCAATGACTATGCAACCCCGAGATAGTTTTCAACAAGAAATAGTAGCAATTACCTTGTGATGGCACTCCCGGCGTCACTATTGTCGAATGCAGCGACTGTGTCCTTGGGGGGGCATCTGGCGGCACCGTTTGTCCATTCTCGCCTGAACGACGATCTTGCCCGTTTTCTGCGTTATAATTGATCCTTTCGTGCGATCGATTCTTCTCGCGTCTCTTAGCAGAAGCCGCGTCATGATCCTTGACGACTTGCCGCAAATGATTCACCTCTCTGGAAAGGGTCAAATTTTCGCTTCTCAGCTGATTGCATTCCTTGATTAAATGAGAATTTTCGCCTAAATGGTGCGTTTGCAATGAAATATAGTTTAGATGGACTAACCAAGTTTGACTCGTTGTAGCCGCTGCGCATCGCTCTTTGCAATGTCGAGTCGATGCTTCAGGTTCCCTGCCGCCCTTTGTACACAGTCGCGTTGAGAATGTGCCTCGATCAGTGCATCACGAAGCTCTAGTTCGGTGATATTCATCTGTTGATTGTCCCTGTCATTATTTGGAGAATGACCATGGTCTTGATTTCTTATTTCCAAATCCGCAGCTCCTGAGGAGAGCATACTCTCTGCTGACACACCCACCGACTGTCCAACTTGAGGTGCATCGTCTTTTACAGCTGGAGAGGGTCGATCTGGTAGTGGCACCTTCGTCTTCAGAACAGCCTCGGTACGTTTTGACTTGTGTCGGGGCGCCTCATCCTTGACAAACTTGTGATAGGCATCCTTGATTGCATCTTCGAGGTCCTTTGGAGTAGTAAAACCAACCAAGGTAGAAAGCTCACGCTTGAATGATGCAATGTATGCCTCACGTTCGCGAAGTAGTCCCCGAAGAGCTGCCGCTTCCTGGCCAAGGGTGTGAATCTTCATTTCCTTGGAATCAAGTTGCTGGCCTTGTCGCTTCTTCTCATAGTACTCTGCTTCCAATTCATCATACATGGCGGATATGTGCGCTTCAAGACCCTCGACGTGCTGCGTGATTGGTCCACGTTCTTCCATGAGTTGCTGCACTCGATGGTCGAGGACAAATCGAAAATTATCTAATGTCACATTCTTGCGCCGCAGGTTCAAGATTGAGAGTTCTTTGTCTTCCAAAGTTGATTCTCGTTCTTCCATGTGTCGCTTGAAATGGCGGAGCGTGGCTTCTAGTTTGGCATTGCGGACTTTTTCAGCGGTCAGTAAAACGTTGCGTGCATGGCTGGATGTTTTCAGTTCGTCCATTCGTTTTTCAAGTCGCGAAATCTTGGTGTTTCGGGTTTGGACAAGACCGCGGGCGTCGGCAGTATTTTCTCTCTCTGCGGTCAATTCCGCT